ATAGCAGCATTGGCTTGTATTTTTATCTAAAAATAAGCTACTTACTGTTCTTCTTTAAAAGCTTGTTTCTTTAAAAGCTTGTTTCTTTTTTTAGCTTATCAGAATACTGTGTGTTTTGATTCAGAAGTAGATTTTCTATTTCACTGTATGACTACCAAAGATTTAAATCTTGTACGTTTTTTCCTCTGGCTGATTTTCTTCTTAGAGAGGGATCTCTTATTGCCTACACTGGGATGGAGGAAGGATTGAGGTTTTAACCTGGTTCCAGTGTTTTTAGGGTTAAGGGAAAGACAGAGTAGGTAGTGAGTTGGGATTTGTGGCATCCTACCATTTACTGTGTATACTTTGCCTTACTCTCCTCATTGGTTATTAATATGGTGCCTCAGTCCTGCTCCAATTTGTGCCTCAGTTTTGCTGACTCAGGTTTAACCCCCTGCAGGGAATCTTCTACTGAGTGAGGTGGTCAGCTTTTTGTGCAGGCAAAAAGAGGGGTGTGACTGCTTTTCATTCCCCTTTCCATTCCAGGCTAACAGTTGGCAGTTTCACCTGTATCCCTGACCTTTGGTATGTTTCTCTTAATGTTTCTAATCCCTAGTGTTCTGCTAAACAAGTTAACATGCTTCTTGCATGACCTCCCCACTCTCAGGTAAATTTAGTTATAGTTACTTTTGTACTAAGTCAGTTATTTCTTGTCCATGCTCCAAAATTTTGTTATGCTTTCAACACCCTTTTTGTTTCCTTTTAAAATATGTGGCTCATATTTATTAAATTATGTTTGTCATTTTGCAATATTTCTGGAAGGAGTGGAGATAAGTATATATGTTCCATGTAAGATATTTAACCTATGGCTTTTCTTTTTCATCTTAAAACATATTATTCTCCTAGGATTTTTCCCTGTTATTTATGTTCTGTTATTACACTTCAGCCTTCCCTGCTATATCCTTTTATTTTACCTGTCTTTAAATATTATTATTTCCTATCCTACATTTTTTCTCTTCCTTTTCACCCTTTTTAATTGTTCTTATCAATTTTTGTGGTTACAATCAACTCTTTATACACTAATGACACTCAAATAATACTGATGCTTCTTACTCATACTCTGAGGTCATGTTCTATAACAGTACCTGTAGGATATTTTTTCATATACATCTCTCACATACATCAGTTTCCTAACCTCTCTCTCATGCTCCATGCAGCAAGCCCTTTTTGTTTGATTTATATTAAGTTTTAAATAGAAAGTTAGCTGATGTTTTACTTCATGTACTGTCTCTTGATATTTGTATTTAGCAGAACATTCTTTGAATTATATTTTTGATTGTTGAATTTACAATGCATTTGTCTTATGCCCTATTAAAAAATCATAGCACATATTGAACAGATGAATCCTCTCTTATTTCAACTATACTCTCCTGACATCTTTTTCCTTTAGCCACACTGGCCATTTTACTTATCATCAAACATGCCTGACATGATCCTATATACAGACCTTTGTACTTTTTTTTCCTTCTGACTAGAACCACTTTTCTTCCAATTTTACATGGTATGGTTTGAATCTATTTCCCCAAAATGTATGCACGGAGATTTGGTTCCCCTTTTGATGGTATTGAAGAGGGTAAAAACTTAATCTGACTGTGGCATGGAAAGGTGGAGCCTTTGGGAGGTGGTTTAGGATTAAGGTCATCAGGGTGGGGTTGCTGTGTTATTTTATTTATTATTATTATTATTATTATTTTTGCTATAGGGTGTGTGCGCTTGCCAGAAAGACAGGGAGAGACAGAGAGACAGAAAGCAAGAAATCACCCCCCAGTGGGGATGGCCAGGCTGCAATCGCTTCTCCTCCATTCTCCTCTCAGGATCTTGGGAACTCACGCACAAACGCCTGGCATGAGTTTTAAGTCACCGGGTCCGGGACTCGAACCATGGTTGACTACATGGGAGTCCAGCGACATGGCCATTACACCAATTGCTGGTCCCAGATGCTTGCTTCATTTTGTTATGTGGTGCCTTCATGTTACCCTTGCCAGATGTGGAGCCTGGACCTTGAACTGCCAAAGCTCTGCCCTTTATAAACCTCTGTTCTTATAAATTACCCAGTTTCAGGTATTCAATATGCAATAGGAAATGGACTAAAATAATTGATATATAGTCTTATTTTTAAAAAATGTTTTTATTTCTTCCATGAGAGACAGAGATAGAGATAGGTACCCCAAACTGGGTCTTCGGCCTGCTGTATACACCCCCAGCCCCCACCAGTGGGAACCCCAAACATACATACGTGTACATGGTGTCTTCAGGGTGTTCCTGGGAAGCAAACCCTGGACCTTCTCCTATGAATCCAATTGTGTTCCTGCTGTGCCATTGTCTGGCCCCAGTACTTACTGAAATCTGTTAGAATGTTTTTTGGCAGCTAGTAGACATTGAATTAATGTCAGCAATTATTACTGTCATTATCTTTGTATATCTGTGTGTATTGTTCGTGTTCTCAATGCATGTAGTTTACTGCCTGACTTGTCATTTAAGAGAAACTATCTTTGATTTTCTCTATTTAAAATATCCCTTTTGCCTTGTTACTCTTCACATACTTACCATGTTTTACTTTAATTAATTGTTGTTGCATGAATGCACATATGTGACCTATTCATGTACTTGTTTACTGTCATCGGACCCTAGATGTAAACCCCTCAGTAATAAGGACTCTGGGCCCAGCCACAGTGGCTTCAGCAGTAGGGGTACTGGAGGCCACCTGGAAGGGCTCTGGGTTCGTATCTGGGATCTACCTGAATATGCTGGTGTGCCTACAGCTGCACCTGTGATCCTGGCTGAGTTCAGGCGCAGGGGAGGATTGAGGCATGAAGACCCTGTTGAGGGTGCCTTCCCCTACCCCCCATAGGAAGGAAATACATAAATAAACTTAAAGAGTAAGAACTTTGTCCTAATCACTCTAATTTCTTCAGTTTGCTCTTTACAATTTAGGAATTGTTGTTGAATAAATTCTGGAATGGTAAATCATCTAGTCTCTTTCTGTAGATACTGTTATACACTGTATCAATTTGTTTTTCATGAAATATTCTTTGTATGCAATACTATGCTATATTTTACTAGGACCTACATTTCTTGGAAGTTGTAAAATAGATTAGTACTGGAAATAGTAGTAAATCCTTTTTTTATTGTGGTAAAATATACATAATGTAAAGCTTACCATTTTAGCCATTTTTTAGTGTATAGTTGAGTGGTATTAAGTACATTGACATTGTTTGCAGACACTACCACTATCCATGTCTGGAACTTTTCCTAAACTAAAGCTCATTACACATTATATTGATAGTAACTGTCCTTTTCTTCTTCATTGTTAACCACTGTTCTACTTTCTGTAGAACAGAAAGTTATTAATTTTCAATCAATTTGCTACTCTAGATACCTCACAGACCTGAAATTATTCCTATTTGTTCTTTGGTTTCATTCATGTAGCATAATGTCTTCAGGGTTCATCCCTATTGTAGCATGTATAAGAATTTCATTCCTTTTGAAGTCTGAATAAAATTCTTTTGAGTCATTGGAAAAGTCATGATGCATTTTTGCATAGAGAAGTATGTCATGACTTCTCCGACAACAGTATTATATGTATATACTACATTTTGTTTCTCCATTCACATGCTGATAGATATTTAGGTTGCTCTCATCTTTTGGCTGTTGTAAATAATGCTGCTGTGAATATGGTTGGGCAAATATCTTTTTGAGACCCTGCTTTCAATTCATATATATATATATATATATAATCTCCTTTATTTCTACAATGGCTCTGCCATTTTACATTCCCACCTTGAATTCACAAGGGTTCCAGGTTCTCCACATCCTTGCCCAATTTGTTATTTTCTAGTACGTGATAGAAGGTAGAATGCACATCAAGCTTTCCCAGCGTTTTTTTGTTGAAAAGGTTGTTCTTGGGCTGGCTGGCGGTGTGGTGTTTAAGCCAGCTGGCCATTGGAGTCCTGGAGCCCATGGCTCAAAAAACATGTGGGACATGAGTATGTGTATGTACAAAATCCTGATAGGAGGCAGAGGTGGAGGAGAAGGGATTGGGGTGTGACAATTCCCCACAGGGGGAGGGGTGCTTTCTCACTTTCTCTCTTTCCAGTGAGTGCATACATCCTCTGACAAAATTTTTTGAAAAGATGGCATTTTCCTTACTGAGAGATCTTAAGTATCCTCCTCAAAATAATTTGATTGCCTATGCAAGGATTTATTTTTGAGTTCTTTATTATATTGGCTTATATGTCTATCTTTATGACAGTACCAAGTTTTTTTTGACTACTGCAAGTTTAGTTAAGTGTTGAATCAGAAACTGTGAGTCCTGTAACTTTGTTCTTCCTGCCCCCAAGATTTTTTTGGTCTCTTTTTGGTCCACATGGATTTTATGATGGGTTATTCTATTTCTTTCAAAAGATTATTGGTATTTTGATAGAAATGGCATTAAATCTATAGATTCCTTTGGATAGTGTTGGCATCCTAATAATCTTCCAGACTATTAGCACAGATGCCTTTCCATTTATTTGCGCTGTCTTTAATTTCTCTCAGAAATATTATAAGTTTTTAATTCTTTTTAATGTTGTTGTAAGTGGAATTGTTTTCTTACCTTTCTTTTCTGATTATTAATTGCCAGTATGTACAGAAAGCACTGTTTAAGGGGGTATTACCTTAAGAGGACTTAAAAAGTTCGTGGAAAAATGAAATGAAAGTACAAATTTATTGGGCAGAATTTTGAAATCATGCATTTGAAGAGTTCTGTTAAAATTCTTGATAACATGAAAGAATTGTGAAAATGACATTTCTTGAATATAATTTAGAGCTTCCAGCTCTTACTGTGATTTATTGCTGCTTCTCTGGAAGTTGGTGGATATATAGTAGTATTTAATACTTTTTATACTTTGGGGGTGGGATATACAGTTGAGTGCAGATTATAGATAATATGTTTTTCTTTCTTTCTTTTTTTTTTTTAACAGGCCACAGAAACACTATTTAGAATGGGTGTAGCAAGAGGAACCATCACAACATTAAGAAATGGAGAAGTAAGATGAAATTTTGATATAATAATTAGTTAATTCATAATTTACACTTTTAAAAATGTAAAATGTGAATTTTATGATGGTGTGACAAGTAGAGAAATAACTGGTATATGCAATATTGAAAGCACCTGACATATAAGTCTATTTTAGTTCACAGTCATTTTGGAATAGATCTTAGGGTGAATATAAATATTTGAGTCTTCATCTTTGATTGCTGAAAGAAAATATTTTAATAATAATAATACTATTTTTACAAATACATATTTTCAATGAAAGTAATCTCTTATCTCCCCCTCCCCTTTTGTATTTTATGTTCAGAGAACTGGTATTTATTAGATAAAATAATATGAAATTTTGATGTTTACCATAGGCAGAGAGAGAAGAGAGACAATTTTGTGTGCTCCTTTTTGTTATTGAGGCTCAGTTATCGTGCAGATTCTTCAGTTTTGACTTTTTAAAATGATGCTGTTAGTTCTTAAATTTTTTTTCCATTACCTAAAATAAATTTTCATTTTATAATTTTTACTTGCCTGATTATCACTGTGTCTGCTTTTCTTTAATTATTCCTTCACTTCAGACATATTTAGGTTGAGGTTGAATTTAGGATCACATTGGTATATTCTTTTCTCTATTCTACTAGGAAATACTTAAAGATAAAATATAACACCTCCCATTCTGGAATTAAGTTCTATGCTATTTAATACAATATTTATATTTAATACAATATTTATAATTTAATAACCTAAATATTTAATAATAAGAGTGAATGAATTGTCTAAGGAATTAAGTGAAGTTATGTTATTATATAACTATAAATTTAATTGGTTGATACATTTGCACACTAGGCAAAAATATGCCATCATTTGAAAAGTCTGTATTTAAATATGTAATCGTATATTGGCAAAGCATTTTGGTATAATTTGTAGCATATATTTTGTCTATGAAGATAGATTTAATTTGTCTAGTTCAATTTTCAAAAAACTCAAATATATGGTGCCATTTTGAGAAAACTTTCCCAGTAATAGGGTCAGACTTAGTTATTTACCTAGAAGGTCTGAAAATGAATTTCAGATTTTAGTCGTTACTGTATATTTTCTCATGAGGGAAAATGAACTTTTGAACTTTATCTTCTGTTATAGGAAGGTTAGAGAAATGTATACAACACAGTTTGTAAATGATTCTCCAAGCATATCAACACATATTGGACATGTACTTATTTTACTTAGTGAGGAAGAAATAGTTAAAGTGGCTGGTCTTTGTTCCATTACTGCCCCAACTACTGGGTGTCCTTCTATATGACTAACCTCTTTGGTAGGTAATAATGGTAGGCAAAATGTTTAAGCACTCTCTGACCTTCAGTTCCACAATGATGTTCTAATTACCACTGTTATCCTTTCATGTGTGTGGAATAATACATGGTTTAAAACGCGTAGAAAAAATACTGACCCTTCATATACCTGTTACCTCGTTGAACGTTTGAACCATGGTGCTGGGCTTTATAAAAGTCTGCATATGCAGTAGCTGAATCTTTGTATCTTGACTGAATTACATAAGCTGGAAAGCAGAGTAATTTTTAATGTGTTTGTCTATTGGAGGGTCTAACTTTTAAAGTAATTGCTGTCAATAGTTATAGAATGTGTATGGCTCAAAAGTGATACTTTTATATTTCCTCAGGAAAGATATAATTCTTTTTTCTGCTTTCCAGGTGTTCACATATAGGATGAAACAAGTACCTTGTTAGAACATAAATTTATTCTCTTAAATTTATGTATTTAAAAAATATCTACTGTTCTTTTATATAAGGTGACAAGAGACTAAAACAAATTGGTGTTTATTCACCAGAACAAGCACTTATTCTTAATTCAAAGTTTTGAAAGAGAATATGTTTGAGCAACTCTTTACCATGTAGAAAGGAGGGACTTCAAACCTTATATCTTTACTAAATCCCTTACTTCTCTTTATTAGCTGACACCATGTGGGTATATCCAGGTCTTATAATAATGACAGGAATCACTGAGGAGAGTATGCAGTGAACAAATTAAGTGACTTTCTATAGCTAGTGAATTGATTAACCTATTGTGGTACTATTAATTTTTTATAAGTTTCAAATTTTCAAAATACCAGGCATATCTTTTCATTATTGAAAAGTTGCAAGTTTTTCTATATGTATTTTTAGCATTACAGATGGAATTTTGGAGGGATTCATGAATGGAAGACTGTTTTCTGCTTGTTCATTTAGCAAGTGTTAAGTACTTTTATATTCCTGATTTTTTCCCCTCTGATAGAGAGTGCATGTGTGTGACAGACACCATTGTCAGGGACCTATCATGCTATAATCCCCATTTTCTTAGGATCCGGGGTGCCTGCGTGCACCTGCCAGGTTTTCACATTGACTTGGGGATCCAAAGCTGTGATTGGCCGTGGCCTTCTAGCTTTGCAGGGCCCTTGTGTTCCTGTCATGAAACAGCTGCTGACTAGGCTGCTTTAAGTGCCCATATTTCATCAGTGATCAAAACTGACCAGTATTCCTGCCATTGGGAGCTTCTATGCTAGGCCATGAATAACTTACGTTCTAATTATAAAAGAATATTAAAACATATATTACAGTTAGGAAGTAATTACAATTATAAAGCAAAAGAAGGTACAGTTGGCTCTTTGTATCTGTGGGCTCTGTCTCTGGGATTCAAGCAACTGCAGGTAGAAAATATTTGGGGGAAAAATTGTGTCTTTTCTGAATATGTGCAGACTTTTTGCTGTTATTCCCTAAACAATGGAGTGTAACAACTATTTCTATCTCATTTACACTGTATTAGGTATTATGTGTAACTTAGAGATGATTTGAAATGTACGGGAGGGGCCAGCTGGTGGCTTAGTGGTCAAACCTGACTCAGTGAAGCAGGCCTACATGGGCAGATGGCCAGTTCCCATCTAGAGGTCTTCCTGTGAATACTAGAGCACGTGTGCCCTGGACTGGAGAGCGGGTAAGGGGTGGTGTTGGTAGAGACTGGAGGTAGATCGTGGCATCAGGACCATGTCAGGGGTGCTGTATCTCTCTCTGATTCATGGAATGAATAAATAAACTTTAAAAATAAAATAAAATGTTTGGGAAAATGTGTGTAGGTTATATACAACTACTGTGACATTTTATGTAAGGAACTTGATCATCTTTGCATTTTGGCATTGGAGGGTGCCCTGAAACTAATCTCCTACAGATCCAGAGGCTGACTCACTCTCTCTCTCTCTCTCTCTCTTTAAAAGCACAGTCATTTCAGTAACAAAGGAAGAAACAGATAATTAGGGTAGGCTAAAGTTAACTCAGAAGATTTTTTAAAAGAGGTATATTTTAACCCGAACCTTCAGGAAACTGATGGACATTAATGAAGAAGAGATCTAAAGGCCAATATGAAAAGGAGTGTAGGTGAGAGTTTAGGAGAGGTACTGGGGACTGGTAAACTCTTCTTGTTGCAGAATGAAAAAGGAAAGGGAAGGGGAGGGAGGAAAGGAAGGAGAACCGTCACTTATTGAGTGCCTAATGTATACTCTAGGGATGTTACAATTGTTTAGCTAATTTAGCTAATAAAAGGCCTTTTCTGTTTTAGGTAATTTTATTGCTATTTTTTCCCAAAGGAGATATTCAAGGTTCAAGAAAGGGTAGAGTTTCTTTATAACATTTCTTTGAGAATTTGCTATATATAAGAATGCTTATGATAATGATTTAAGCTTGTACAGAGTCTAGAATTAGTACTCACTCTGTCTCCTTCTCAACAGGAGTAGCCAGCTCCCTGTTGGAGAGAATCGTCTTTATGTCAATAGACCTGGGTTCTCTCTTTGCTTCACTTTGTGATCGTGGGCGATTACTTCATTTCCCACAACTCAGAGTCACTTAGAAAATGAACTGATCAGATGATTTTTAAGGTTTAGTATTTTCTCCTTTCATGTAGCTTTGAATACTTTTTCTATTTTGGCCATTAATGTTGTGCTTGTGACAAGGCATGAGAATTGCCTGTGGAGCTCTGTGAAACTACCAGTGCCTAAGCTGCATTTCCAAAGACTGTGTGAGGGTTAGCTTGGGATTCCACTGTCTCCATTTTTTAACATGTCCACTGATCTTAATGCTTAGTCATTGCTGTAAAACAGTTTTGGAGAAGGGTTTTTCATTATTCTTTTTCCTTGAACTTGAGGAAGGCACAATTTGAGTAAGAGAAAACAAAGAAATAGCAAAAGAGATTTAAAATGTATTTAAAATGTTTTATTATTTAAAGTAGAGTAGGGTGCCATGTTTGCTGTTTTGGTAAGATGGATATGGTGTTAGACCCATAACTTTTATTTTGTGTTACTGCATGATATTAGGTATTATGCATGATTCACTAGCATGGATGCCCCCCCCCCCGACTTTTTTTGGGGGGGCATGTTTGAAATAATTAATACAGAATATTTAATTTTAGATTTAATATTTAATTGGTTCAGTGAATGTAGGAGCTCTTCATAATGGACTTCTATTTCTTGAGGTTTAGCACCTGCCTGGTACATAATGAGGATCTTTATATGAGTCAGTTGAACAAGTAATAGATACATTAAGAAGAACTTTCATTGCAAATATTTTGACTTAATCAACTTTCAGTTTAAGATAAATATTGAGACCAGCAGGTGGTGTAATGGTTACTCCTACATGGTTGACTATGGTTCGAGTCCTGGACCCAGTGGCTTCAAACTCAGGCCGGGCACATGTGCGTGCATACCTAAAATTCCAAGAGGAGAATGGAAGAGAAGGGATTGTGGCATGGCCATCTCCCTGGGGATGATTTCTCACTGCTTCTTTCTCTGTCTCTCCAGTGAATGCACACACCCTATAATAGAAATCTCTCTTTAAAAAAAGAGATAAATATCTTTATAGATTTATGTGTATAAATATTAATATTATTGCTTTTATTTTAATCATAAAGTTTATAATATGGTGATAATTATTTTCTATTAAAATTCATGAATTATGTATAATAGCTGTA